TCCAGGAATGCTAATGATAGTACAAGGAATTATAAAATACACATGTCAAATTTAATGGGAGAATTTCCCCTTATGCTGTTATGAAAAATCAGTGATGATCCTTAAATTAACTGATAGGTTAGGAAATTTGGTTAACTGATTAACCTGTAGTGCTGCCGGGCAAACCATAAGTTGAGAGGTTCTAATTGACCAGTAGCTTCATGTGAGAAAGATGAGGCTATCGGCTCCTATAAAGATATGCTGAGAAATCTATACAGGGTCACTATGAGTCAGCTTGGACTTGATGGCAATGGGTTTGGTTTGAAATTTTGTATGAATGTATGTATGAAACTATGTATGAATGAAAAGCATTCATACATAACAATAATCACTATTATATCAGTTAACAGTTATTAATATTGGACTGAATGCCAAGTACTACTGCATTTGTATTTATGTTACAGGTATTATTACACTCTAGATGTATATACAGATTGTATAACATACCAAGGACTACACAAGTACTAACACCTATGTGTACTATTACTATACACCAGCAAATATTGTTACAACAACTCTATGAGGTATGTGCAATTACATCTTTATTTTAAAGATTAGGAATTTGAATAAATAGAAGATGAAACCTTGCCTGAGCTGCATGGCTGAGATGTGCAGCTAATAAATTTACCTAGGTTTCAAACTCAGGCAATCTTGATCTGCATTATAGCTAATTAGCCACTCTAATATCTATGTGCATCTATGAATAACAATCAAAGTGTCTTAAGTTTTGGGACTATGTTAAGTGCTAACTTTTAAATTTAAAAATTATTATAAATTACAATGTACTGAGCATTTTCTAAGTTCACATGCACAATTTTTAAGATCTATTTATCAGCTACTAAGAGTGCATGGTTCACCAATAAGGGGATGTGGGGAGTGGGATTTAAAAAGTTCCTTGAAAATCTGAATGCAAAGATAACTGAATTTTCCCATGAACTTTCTGAAGCACGCACGTATATACAATTAAAGATAATGTAAAGCACTTTTTAGAAATGATACTAGAGAAAATCGATGATTAATTATTCTCAAATCTTTACAGAATAATTTTTAAACATTTTCATTTTTAAGTGCTGATTGAATCTGAGATCTTACTATAAATAGATAAAGAATAGGAAAAAAAACATGGGGAGGACCTTAGGGCTGGCCACACCACGGGACACGACATCCCTCACTGAACCATGACGCTGAGGGGGACAGTCCTGGAGATACAGTGCGGGAATAGTGCACGGTCTGGGCCCATCATGCTAGCGTGACAAACTGAGGGCATGCAGCAGAGCAGCAGGGGGAGAAGACTGGTGAAACCCCCAGGGAAAACCAAAAACAGACTTGGGAGACAGAGGATGGCATCTTCTAAGACTCGGCGGAAAACACTTGTAAAGGCCAACAGACCTTAAACTATTTATAGGCTTTTCCATTTTTGTCAGTTGCTTTCTTTTTGTTGTTATTTTGTTCTTGCTTTTGCTGTTGTTTTGTTGGTTTTGACTTCCTTTGTTGTTTTATTTGGCTTTGCCTG